AATTTTAATCTTAATTTTAATTCCGTTCATTTATTGAGAAGAAAATTATTCTCTTTCAAATTAACTCGAAAAAATATTTGTTCACTTTTAGAATCTAGTTACGGAAATAGCGCGTAACTCGGAAAATAAGGTTCCGTCTGTTGGATTCGAGTTACGTAACTCGATTCTGATTTCAACGCTGTTTGTCATCGAGTTACGCACAGATGTCGAAATGGGCGTGTCCCCCAAAACATGGGTGTGTCCCTCGCGTAACTCGAAAAATGTGTAACTCGAAAATCGTACCTCGAAGAATACCTTATCTCCTATGCGACTACTCTGTCAAGTATCGCAGGTTAAACGAAACCCTCCAAACGTGTTACAAAACCCAGACCTGATGAAACTGCTCTTCCCGATCTGAAATACTTTCCATGCAGCTTCTAATTATTGCTACTACATGTGCGACACGGACGAAAAGCATGAAGAAGTTGATACTTCATGCGAGGACACTGATGAGGATACTGAAGATTTATATAGCGACGAAGAAAGTTATGTCATTGTTACTCATGAAATTGGAGTGACTGATAGTGAGAAAGAAGATGAAGACGGAGAGAAAGATGAAGCCGAAACAGTCAAAGTTACAAGGAGCGGAAGACGTGTGCACCCATGAAAATTCTTTTGGGATTCTGACTGAACGGAATCCGGAAGCCATATCTGTCATGCTACATGTCATATGATACCATAGCATTGACTGAAACCCTATATCCATCTATCAGACTGTATGATACACATTTGTAGCCCGAATTGATATACTCAAAATAAAGCCATATTTCGCAACCACCAAGGAACAGAAATCATTACAATATCAACAGTGGATCCTTTTTTCAGTGGGTGGGGGATGTGCAATTTTGCTTCTAAAATGAGGTTGGATCATCATTTTTTCAATCTCGTTTCATTTACTTTACGGCCACTCCCTAAGGGCAATCAACAAGCTCTGTAGTTTTATGACGGAATGGGAAACACTTTTCAAAACAGTCAAGAAAATAAATATACGACAAAAAATAAAAAAAACTTTTTTCAAAAAAACGATGGAATCTTGAGGAAAAATCGGCCTAACTTACCATATAAGTCAAGCGTTTCTCAATGAACTTAACACACAGGTATCCCAAGCAACGAGTTGTGGTGCGTGTGAAAGCATTAACAGTAAATGTATGGGACGAAAAATATGTAATTAAAAAATTGGAACATACCTTGCTCCTGTGTTGTTGTTAATGGTGTTTAAAGTCATAATCTCATTCTCAAGAGAATGACAAGTGGTCTGAAATAGGAAAACGTTATGCCCAAGGTATAGAGGTAAAAAAAAGTACGGAAAAAAGCCCAATAAAAAACCTCCCTCTTATCTCTGACTTCAGTCGAGAGAAATAGGGATCTATAAAGACTCTACTAACCAGAAAAACAACATCTATATGTTTACACTACGTTCAGCATGAGTATGTGTTATATATTATAAAGTACGACTAAGAATATAGATTATAATCAATTTATTGCAATAAACATCATAAAAATAACTATATCACAATCTACATACACTTATTTCAATAAAGTTAGTCACTAAATAACCTAGAAAGCTGAGATCACCGAGCATCATGGGAAACTTTTAATATCAAGCAAGTCAAGCTTTTGATAAAATTTGCAGCTTGAGGATGCTCAGAAGTGGTGACACTGTAACTGGTAAAAGATCTAAAATCCATCAACAGTTATTAAAGCGGTTGAAACATGTAAAATGTAACTACCCATAATCCTTGTTGGTCTCAGCTTTGTAGCTTTTCAGGYGACAAACGTTATTGAAATAAGTGTATCATGCTTATAGCTGGAATAAAAATGTATCATAGAAAAGAGTCAAACATACAGTAACTGTATACTGAACTTAACTAAAGACAAACATAAAAAGCAGTAGGGGAATATTCTCGTAAATAATGTTTGTTTTGATAAATAAATCAACCTCCTCTTTTTACACACTAAAATCATAACCTCAAAAAATGTACTTCATACTGTACTGTATGTAAAGAATGATGGATATTACCTCATAGGGCGCATATTACCTCATAGCCCCCATGTCAGTTCATAACAAAGCATTCCTCATCTCTTGCTAGATCAACCAACATGCTGGCTGTTTCRTTATCATTAAAGGGGCACTTGGATGAAAACACCCCGATTTTTGAAAGTCCGAATAATTGAAATATTTGAGGATAATACGACTCAGTTATGACTATGTAAACATGATTAGTGAAAATTTTAGCCTGGGAGCCACTCGCTGTTGAGATATTTTGGGTTAAAAGTGAAAAGAACAATAGGGTTAAGTAAATGATGTCATTTACTCACAATTTAGATGCTGAATAAAATTGATAATTTTTCTCGCCACTTTTGATTGTGAAGGAAACATGTTGCTTGGCTACTATCTGGGCCATATAGATAAGTTTAAACAAGTTTCAAGTCATTTCCAATTTTTATTGATTTTCATCCTAGTGCCCCTTTAATATCTCAAGAGATTTTGAGTCAGACATGTGGTTGCACCCCAAGAATAGAGATGTAATTAAATTCAAACTAATAGAAATATAGTGTATTTTTTATATAATTATATCCAGTAAAGGTTAAATTTCTTTATCGCCCATCTAGTCTCCTGCTTCAAGTTCAAATTCTGTTACTATCATTCGGTGATCAGATATCTGGAACTCCTCAGGCCACTCCTGTTAAAGAATAATTTACACACATTATTAACCTACTAGCACAAGATATTAGCCCTTACAGCAATTCTATGCAGCTCAATTTGATAGAAAAAAGAGAAAAAACAAACAATAATTTTTAATTAACCTCATGACAATAARATTCCATTGGTTCACTTTCACTTATTATTTTACAGGTTCAGTGAAGTATGATCAGAATACAGTATATGCAATATTACTTGAACCTGTCCATTTGTCACTCTCACTCATTTACAAATGAATTTTTTTAAGGGGTGCAACATGACAAAGGATCATATGATCCTTTTAGGATAAAGCTGTTATCAAAATATGCATACATATAGGAATGCAAGGGTACAATACATCCATTAAAGTTATGGAATGGGTGAGAGGATGCTAGTGAGCTGAACAAACAAACAATTAATATTGTACTTGCTATAAAAGAAAAATATTCACTTCTTCTTCCATAAAGCTATGAGCTTCTTTGTATTGTTACTGTAGCTTCAAACGTAGTGCTATTTCCAGCTGAGTGTGCTGATCACCAAATTTCACTGGGTTGAGAAAGTTTCAAAGTCATCAATTCAGATGTCCCAAACAAAACATTATTTCAACAGGTAACAAGTATTTTCTTTTCGGCACATGAACTTGGTGGAGGTGACATGTGAACTTGTTAAGATTATGTGTAACCAAGTTAAAGTGGAATAAACAGAGCCTTGAAAATAACATGTGACCACATTACATACATTTTTTTACAATCTCATCAATGATACTGTATCTCTCCTAAATTATAATATGACCACATTACAGACTGTAAGTGCTTTTCCAGGCTTGTAAGGTTCTTCCACTGTCACTAAATATCATTTTAGAAAACAAAACTATGAAAAATTTATAACTGGGTTTCAACTGTAATCAAAACGAGTTAAAACACTCTAACAAGTTCACGTGCCAAAAAGAATGTTCTGTGGTGTGGGATTTGATGACTGCAAATATTTCTCAACCCAGTGAAATTCAGCAAGCGGCACACACAACTGGAAATAACAGTATTTATTATAAGTATTTATATTCACATCTTCTTGCTACTAAAATAATATGCAATCTTTTCTGTGCTACCTTAGTTTATTTTCAAGTTTACTAACTTACCACATCATTATATTCTTCTGGTAATAATAAAGATGATTTAGGTTCAATTTTATATGCATCAGAATTTCTAAAATGAAGCAAAAATATTGTCAAAGTCATGTAATGTTAGCTATAGTTTACATCAGAGATATTACATGTATAGTTGCTGGTTCAGACAGGTTCAAACTTATAATTTGAAGGAAATATTTATCAAGAAGCCTGTCAAAACATCTAAGACATTTTGATGTGAAGTGATGGGTGGCATAATGTAATTCATGGTGAACCTCAGTTGTTGGTACACCCAATCTGTGGCCACACATTATCTTTGGGTAAAACTCATCTGTGGGCAAACCTCATCCGCTGTGGTCACACCTTATCTGTGGGTACACCCCATCTGTGGGCACACCTCATCTGTGGCCACACCTTATCTGTGGGTACACCCCATCTGTCGGCAAACCTCATTAGAGCCAATGTGTTTGAAAGTGTTGTTCTCTTACATTCCAAGAAGATWTTTTTAGAGATCATATTTCAAAAACAATTCTCAATTTTTTTCAAATTATACCATAGGGTAAAAAATATATTTTTTAAAATTCAATTTGTTTTATATCTAGAGTTAAACAAGAGAAAATTTCCACTAACATCTGATTTTGTGATTGCAAAAATTTTAGTGGAAGTTGTCCTGAGTAACTAACTCAGTCTGTAGGATTCACTGGGGTACATGGCACCACATGTCTTGAATACAGGTTAAAGGTGTCAGAGTTGATCTATTAATGGGTATTACAGCATTACTTACTTATAAAATATATAATCTACAGCCAGTTGTTGTCCTGTATGGTCCTTGTGAGTGACAACAGCTTCCTTGCCATGCACATTTTTAAAGGATGATTCATAGCCATTCTCACTGACATATACATACACTGGATTCCCTTCAGGGCTGTTGAAATCACCAGTCAAGATTACTGGTATGGAACTGATTTCATTTCTAAAATTATTAGAGAAATTAAAATCATTTCAACAATTTATATTTTATTTTCAGGTAAAAACAGTGGGGTTTTGTTAGTGCCAAAACTTCCCTCCCATGATACTCTTTTGTGCACACAAAACCCTGACTGCTGGAAATCTGTAACCTTCTGTAAATCTGTAGCCAGTAAATAACCTTCCCTTTAATCTACACACACGTTATGCAACTAGTATGTTAAAAATGATCAAGTAATAATAACAATTTGGATTTCCTAATCTCAAAATACCTACTTTTGAATGTAACTGTCTATCCCATTGACCACTTTTTGTGCTTGGGACTGAAAAAATGTATTATTGTTATTCAATATCTAATTGTGCAACCTTTAGGCTAGGCAAAAATATCTTATATGTGGGATGAATCAAAAAGAAAAATAGCATGCTTGTGTTTCATAATGTACTAACTACTGTAGTAAATGATGATGATGATGATGATGACAATAAAGGTGGTGGGGATGATGATGATGATGACAATAAAGAGTTCTTTGGAATGCATCACTCAATGCTTTTTACAATAGAACAGTGTACTCAATAGTTATATTCATTCCTGATAAATCGGAGAGCTTTAAGTTAATAGACTGACAATGAAGATTTAGAGTCAGCATGTTTTATTTCATTGGGGAGATTGCATTCTCATTCCTTTTTTTTCCATATTCACTCCTGGATTTAATGACATGAAGATTACTTAAATACAAAATACCTACCATTCTTATATATTGGTCAAAAAGGTTATGACAATATGATAAATGTGTGGTGGCAAGAATAACCTGTAAAGAAAAGAATAAATAAAGGAATAAAATAAACAAACAAACAAACAAATAAGTTTAAGTAATAAAAAATAAAAAATAAGAACATCAAAGAAATATTAAGATGCCTAGCAAACTTCAACACTTCTGGTCAGTGCTCTGCCAACCCCCTTGAATATTCTTGTGATAATTATTATGGTTTAAGAAAATAATGATTAAATCATTTCATATTTGTTATAATTACTGTGTTATACAGGAACTTTGTAGTAAAGCATGATTCGTTTTCAAAAATAATTTAATGCAGTATGGATAATACGTACTGTACCTCTTTATCACTGTCAGGAAGGTGTAAATGCAAGAGCAGAGCAACTCTGTAGCCGTAGTCATTAAACCTCAATGACTGGGTAGCTATGATTCTGGAAAAAATAGATTAAAATATTAATATGAACAAACAAAAACAAACAGACAATAAAAGCAATAAAAAAAAAAGGAATAAACTAAAATGCTTCTTGGTATAAAGCAAGTTAGGTAGGTGCCCAGGTGTATAATTTAAGCATAGTGGAAGCATAGATGGCGTACATGCAGTAGTGAGAGTGCTCGCCTCTCACCAATGCGACCTGGGTTTGATTGTACAATGTACTGTAACTTGCCCTGCATTGAAGGTACACAAAAGAATCACTGAGGATGTACATATTCATAAAGAAACAGCCTTTACTAAATGATGCTTTCTTAATGGATTGTGGGAAGGGTATCATTATGGCTCATCTTTTAAGGGGGTTGGAAATTGGAAAAGCTTCCTATTGTGAAGCACAAGCCTGCAGGCAAAATATCAAAAATAAATGAATAAATAAATATAGCTCAAAAAAGATAAAAAAACCTTACAATATTGCTGTAAATGCACCAGTATATTTAATGTMTTTTTTGTTGCATCCAACATGGCCTACAGCTTCAATCAGTACATGTATATTGTTTTAGTTACCTTGCTGAACGATCTATCAATATTGCAAGTCCATCTGTTTTCTCTCCTTGTCTTTTTAGCTTGATAATTCTATATCTACATTAAAAGAATGTAAAATTCAAATGACAAAATCAGAATTTTTTTWATTTTGTTTCAATTTGTTTGACTGTTCTGTCAGTCATGTGAAAGACTCACTTTTAAATGCACTTCTACACGTCGGGCTAGAAGGGCTAAAAAATGTCTCATTTTGGCAAAACCTTTTTGTATTTCATTAAAATTTCTTGGAACTTTGTAACATTGTAGAGTTTAACATCTCACAACTCTGTTGTTTTACTTTTTTGAATTTCAACATTTTTGGCGGGGCAATGACGCCATCAATTTTAGTGGAAAATCGAAATACTCCTCAATGGAAAATTCTAACTAGTGCATTTGAAAGAACTGCACATGAGGAGTTCAAAAATGCAAAACTTGTTCATTTCTGATATGGGAACCAAAAAAATCATATCTTTTGAGTGTTCATATCATTGTATGTCCTTGTACTGTGATATAAACACTCTGGGATCTGAAGAGAGCTTGAAAAGCAAGAGAAAGACTCAGCTATTCTTCATGTTCTTAGGCTTAGCTTGCTTGTCATGTGCCCTACAGCTCCTAACGTGTTTATGTCACTGTATAGRTCAAAACAAGCGGGCATGTTTTGAAGTTTTCAGGTTGTCTTGAAGCTTACTTTTCCCCCAGTTTTCTTTCAAAGAAATCCATAGCATCATCATTAAACCAAAACTCCTGCAGGCATATCGCATCAAGATTGGGTTGTTCTGCTATTAATTCCACGATTGCCTGATATCGTTTCATGTAAAGATTGGGCTGAGAACTCTCCCATGTTCTCCACCATCCTCTGTTAAATGAAAAAAAAAAGATGTCTTTCGTAAACCTCTGCAATATATAGTTAATTAGCCCTGGGTTTTGCCAATCAATCCTTGCTCTTCTGTGATCAAATCTCCCTACCCTTTTTGAGAATCTGGTGCAGCGATTCCAAATCTGAAACCAGATTGGCTGGGTGCAAAAAGCAACATGACATTGTAAGATAAATGCAATCTGATTCCCCAATCTGTTTATGATGGCCTGGGTGCACTATGTATGAACCTAACAAAATGACCGCTCACCAACAGGATTGGCTTCATAGCTCAGTTGGWAGAGCATCGCACCGGCATGGCGGAGGTCATGGGTTTGATTTCAGTTGAAGCTTGAAATCATGTTTTCAAGTCTTTCTTTACAGCGTTCGCTTAGATCGCTCATTCACTGTGATGATCAACACATCTATCATTATTTCACCACAGTTCTATCCATTCAATATTCACACTTATTACATTTAGCGGCTTGATGAACCCAACAAAATGACCGCTCACCAACAGGATTGGCTTCATAGCTCAGTTGGTAGAGCATCAAGCCAGCATTGCGGAGGTCATGGGTTCGATTCCTGTTGAAGCTTGAAATCATTTTTTCAAGTCTTTCTTTACAGCGTTCGCTTAGATCGCTCATTCACTGTGATGATCAACACATCTATCAGTACACTATGGATGTATATATGTTCATTGTACACTTARGGGCTGTTTATATGGAGGCGAGCTAGCCTGGTAAGCGGGCTAGCCTGCTTGACCGAGATCTCGGCTCGGCCTCTTTTCGTTGTAAAAAATGCTTCGTGTTTATATGGGGAGACGGACTGGCCCGCTTACCGAGATCTCGGTTGGGTGGTGCTGAGATCTCGGCAAGCGGGATGGAAAAATTCCCATATAAACGAGCCAGCCCGGTAAGCRGGCTGGATTTGATCCTACTGCGCATGCYGCCATGTTTTTYTTTATGTTTTCGCGGGACGAGTTCGTATGCTAATGAGGCTGGATGATCACATGACTGATTTCATCCCGGTAAGCGGGCTGAATTTTCCCATATAAACGCAATCCAAAATTCATCTCGGCCAAGCGGGCTAGCCTGCTTACCAGGCTGGCTCGCTCCATATAAACAGCCCCTTAAAACTTTAGAAAAAATCAGTGACTCAGCTACTCAAATAAAAATCCAGGAACATTTAAAATAAATAATTGTTAAACAAATAATTGTTAAACTCAAGCATATTAAAAATGCATTTAATCTTATTTGTATTTCTACCTGTGTCAATGTTGTACAAATAACAGCAGCCAAAACAAGCTAAATAAACGCTCTTTAACAAGACATACAACACAGCCAGTACAGGCTGTAGGTAGAAATAGAAATAACAAAAGGAAAGAAAAGACTCACTAGACCGAAACGTCTAGAAAGAACATTTTGAAAAATYAGAAGCAACCAGTTATCAATTTCATATTTTAAAAACACAAACTTCACAACTATTTTACAAGATCAATAAAGCCCGGAATAAAGAAAGCGAAAACGTATATTTCTTACTTGAGTCTGTTGTAACAAGGCGCGAGAATGTTGAACGTCGCACATCGAAACGAAATTTTACGAGTCTTCTTGGCYTCGGCCATCTTGTGAACGAGTCTTCGCACTACTAAATTCCCTAAAGATCGAATCATTAAGTTGAAATCCCATTCTATAAACACAGTTCAAAATCGGTTAAATTCTGTAAACCGTCAKGACCGGCCTGTGGTTTTGACATTGTACTGTGTAACTTACTGCGCATGCGTCAATACGCAAACAAAACCATTAGGTCAGCGGAATCCCCCTTTACACACTGAACCTGCAAGCCTTGTTTACAGCGGGTTTACCCATTCTAAGAGATTTTGCGCCAAATTTAGAATTTTAGTGTTAAAATAAAATGGTGTTGTGTGGAGATGGATTCTTTCCTGATGAAAGCGTACGACAGATGCAATATTGGAGGAACAGAAGAGGTAAGTTATGCTCGAGKTTCCTAGCAATGCGATTTTGTTGACATGCTGTATGAGATAGTTATCGTAGATTGATAAGTTTTACACCGTATTGAAAATAGGAACTGACGTTTCGGACGTTAGTCCTTCGTCGGAGTCAATGAGATAGTAAAATCTTGCTTGTTTACTCTCTAACATGCGCAGGAAAAGCTATGGTTGTCATCATTTTCCAGTCATATCAAGAAGAACATCTTGAAAGAAAATAGTTATCAGAACTGTACAGATCTTGCTCTTTTGATCCTCGAATGTATTACATCCTTGATACGAGAAAAGACGCGAGATGATGGTGATGATGATAATAATGATGATGATGATAGTGGTCAAGCTATACCAGCTTGGAGTCAGTATCATTTCATGTCYATTGAATCTTTAGCCAATGAGAAAGAAATGTGTGCTGGTCAGTTAAATGGAGATATGTTGAATGGCAMTCAGTCTACAGCAAATCTTGGTAATGTGTTTATTTATAGTGTATTTATTCAATATTTACTGTATTTTCTCTATTTAAGGCTTATTCCTTTTCAGTGATTTTGGACTGGGGGCTTTATATTAAAAGAGAGCTTAATAAAATTTCCTGATCATTGGAAATTCATAATTACTTTTATTCACTATATTAGAAGGGTGAAGGGGGGGGAGGAGGTATTAAAGGCTTGGTGATTAATAGAGGAAACATATATTGTATGACCTGTGTTCATGTATTGAATTAATTTTGGTCTATGGATTTGCAAGACAATTATTATTTCCAAGTGGGATGTACATTATGTAATCCTGTTAGTTGTTACTTATATCATCGGCCCAAAATCAATGTACATAATTAAGAAAACCTCATTTCTTGATTTGGATTTTAGATGTAAGCCCAGGGCTTACAACCAGGGTTCTATATTGAAATATATCCAGGGTATGTGTATTGTGGAAGTGGAGCAAGGTGTGTCCAGAAAGGGCATGGAGGGAGGGGGAGAAGGAGGGAGACACAGAATGAGACATGGAAGAAGGTACATGTGCTGTAAGGAGGCTGAAGAGGATCAATAAATCAAATAGTCTAGCCCACGTTTGATCACTGGTCATTGTGTTTATACTGCAGTACCTACATACAGTATTGTATATCTTACTGTTTCAGTATGGGGTGCCGATCCAGTCAATATTCTCATCATTTATTTCATGGCTTATTGTATTTTTATTGTGGTCTTTGAATTTGCTTTTATGGTGATTATA